AGAGAGCAGAGAGAGAGCAGAAAGACAAGAAAGAGAGCAGAGAGAGAGCAGAAAGACCAGAAAGAAAGCAGAGAGAGCAGAAAGACCAGAAAGAGAGCAGAGAGAGACCAGAAAGACCAGAAAGAGAGCAGAGAGAGCAGTAAGAGAGAGATCAGAGAGACCACTGAGAGACTAGAGGGAGAGACTGGAGGGAGAGACCAGCAAGAGATAGAGCAGAGACCAGAGTAAGACAAAAGAAACCTCAAACTATTGTGGCTTGAGATTTTGGTTCCCCAGTCTGAATGAACGCTTATTTCTAAGAAAGAAAGTAAGAAAATATAGAACAAATGTGTTTCTCTCTCTGTGACAGGAGTCTGGACCATCCATCACCCTGTCACCAAATCACATGGTTTCAGCTCAATTAAAGAGAAAGACCAGGTGGGTTTTTCCTGCTGGAGAAGGACTTTTGCAGAGAAGGTAATTTCACATTCAGACCAAAGGAGCCCTGAGGGTGTGCTGTGTTGAAAACATCTTTAAAAAAAAATCTTAAATCACAGCACAAGACACCCAGGACCAAAGAGAGACCAGAGAGAGAGAGCAGAAAGATCATGAAAGAGAGCAGAAAGACCAGAAAGAGAGCAGAGAGAGAGCAGAAAGACCAGAAAGAGAGCAGAGAGAGAGCAGAAAGACCAGAAAGAGAGCAGAGAGAGAGCAGAAAGACCAGAAAGAGAGCAGAGAGAGAGCAGAAAGACCAGAAAGAGAGCAGCGAGAGCAGAAAGACCAGAAAGAGAGCAGAGAGAGAGCAGAAAGACCAGAAAGAGAGCAGAGAGAGCAGTAAGAGAGAGATCAGAGAGACCACTGAGAGACTAGAGGGAGAGACTGGAGGGAGAGACCAGCAAGAGATAGAGCAGAGACCAGAGAGAGAACAGAGAGACACCAGTGAGAGACCAGAGTAAGACAAGAAACCTCAAACTATTGTGGCTTGAGATTTTGGTTCCCCAGTCTGAATGAACGCTTATTTCTAAGAAAGAAAGTAAGAAAATATAGAACAAATGTGTTTCTCTCTTTGTGACAGGAGTCTGGACCATCCATCACCCTGTCACCAACTCACATGGTTTCAGCTCAATTAAAGAGAAAGACCAGGTGGGTTTTTCCTGCTGAAGAAGGACTTTTGCAGAGAAGGTAATTTCACATTCAGACCAAAGGAGCCCTGAGGGTGTGTGCGTGTGTGTGTGTGTGTGTGTGTGTGTGTGTGTGTGTGTGTGTGTGCGTGTGTGCGTGTGTGTGTGTGTGTGTGTGTTGTGTGTGTGTGTGTGCGTGTGTGCGTGCATGTGTGTGTGTGTGTGTGTGTGTGTGCATGTGTGAGTGTGTGTGTGTGTGCATATATGCGTGCGTGTGTGTGTGCGTGTGTGTGTGTATGTGTGTGGATTTGGATTTACTTTGTATAGTATGGCTTGTCTAAATCTACATATTATTCTTATACAAGAACAAATTCCATCATTTCTTATTCTTTCTCTCCTAACACAGTGGTAACAGATTACTACTGTAGCCACAGCTGCCCTGGGGCACACTGGCAGAAGTGGGCCAACCAGCTTCATAAAGAGAGAGTGGGCATCCTTTGTGGAGATTATTGAGAATTATTGCTTTCTCTGCCAACAAATCCAAAAAAGAAAAATAACTGGAACAAACCAATATTAAAAACCCAAATGATGATCTATGCAGAGAAATAGGACAACTACAACTTAAATTAAATGAAATAATAAATAGAAAAAACTACATTTCTTATGCACAGACAAATCAGGAAAATATTTAGCTCAATGTCCACAATTCAGGACTCAGCAGGGAAGCCCACTACATCTCAGAAAGAAATAAATTAATTTTTTGAAAGTTACTATAGGGAACTATACTCCACCAAAGAACCAAACCTGGACAACATTCACCATTTTTGAACAAAATCAACTTACCCTCACCCCCACCCAAATAGCAACATTCAATAAACCAATAACAGAACTCGAATTAAGCATAGCATTCACATCTGACAACAAATCTCCCGGTCCGGACGGCTCCTCTGCTGAGTTCTATAAACATTTCTGGCCAATACTCACACCATTATTCAGCCGTATGCTTGAATCAGAGCAACTCTCCAAACGTCCCAAACACATGAACTCCGCCACCATTTCACTAATCCTAAAACCCAATAAAGATCCAACACTGCCATCAAGCTACAGACCCATCTCACTAATCAACGTTGACACTAAAAATCTATCCAAAACACTTGCCCACCGACTAGAAAAAGTAATCCCCACAATCATCCATCCTGATCCAACAGGTTTTATCAAAGGCAGACACGCATCCACCAACACCCGGAGACTCTACACTCTAATCCACGGGTCATCATCACATTACGACAAATCCATCATGGCTACTTTAGACGCCAAGAAGGCCTTTGACAGGGTGGACTGGACTTTCCTGTTTGCCACAATGGAGAGGTTTGGTTTCCGGGGCTCATTCATTAATTGGTTAAGGATTCTATACACCTCACCTACAGCCACTGTCATCACCAACGGTCAAACATCAAGTCACTTCACTCTACACCGAGGAAATCGCCAAGGATGCCCACTCTCTCCACTCCTGTTCCTACTCTTCATAGAACCGAAACACAAACCATAGAACACAAAATCAGCCTCTATGCAGATCATCCTCACTATGCCATACAATAAACCTCATTGAATCATTCTCCAAAGTCTCACAATACTCAATAAACTGGAACAAATCCTCTATACTTCCCCTACATCCAAACAGCTGGGATGTGACCGCCACAGCAGCCCCAAGCCCACTCTCCACTCACCACATCACCTACCTGGGAATAAAGGTTTCCCCCAGAGCTGTTTTCTCTTAATTTCACCCCACTAATCAAACAAATAGAAGACAATCTCCAACGTTGGATGAACCTCCCAGTCTCACTCACAGGCAGAATAGCAATAATAACATTGTCAATCCTTCCCAAAATCAATTACCTCTTTGCAATGACCCTAGCACAACCAACCTTGACCTGGTTCAAATCTCTCAACACAGTATTAACACATTTTACTTGAAAAACAAACCCTCAAGAATCAAACTCACCACACTACAGAAACCCAAACTTCAGGGCGGACTCAACACACCAAACTTCCAGCACTACTCATTATAAGCCCCCCTACAGTGCATGCACAAATGGATCCACCCAGCAGCAGCTCTGACAGCCTGGTGGAACTCAGCTGTGGAGCCTGCACCATCATTCTCAGTCCCGTCCTGGTCCCGTCATTGGTCAGTCTCTTACTTCCTCTCGATCGTCCTCTGTCCTGGTTCTGTCCTGTCCTCTGTCCTGGTTTCGTCCTGTCCTCTATCCTGGTCCATCCTGGTCTTGCCCTGGTCCCGTCTGGTGTCCTTTTAACCAGGCTCTTCCTGATTTTGATTTTTGTAAATAAATCTTTTGTCAACTCTGCATTTTGGGTCCACCAGTTCTTACATCTAACAAATATAACCCCACGCCCCACACAAACGCACGCACACACCTAAATTCAGTTTTACTTGCATATGTGTTTAAAGTCCTTTCTATAACTAATATTATTATTGTTTGTATTGCTTGCTTATGGACTGTTCCTATGTACATATTCACCCGGTGAAAAAATTAAAAAAACTTGTCCCTCTGTGTCCTTAGTCTCCTCCTGGTCTCCTCCTTCTGTGTCCTGGGTCTCTTCCTGGTCTCCTCCCTCTTGGTCCTGGGTCTCCTCCTGATCTCCCCAGAGAGGCGTCCAGGAGTCATCCAAAACAACGTGGAGAAGCAGCGGCTCTACTGCGAGCTCCTCCTGTGTGACTGGGCTTGTATTCACAATCTCGTCCTTTAAATCATGACCCAAACCATTGTTTCAAGCATTAAACCAATAAACATGACATCATTTTGATCCTTGTGCTTTGTCTCATTGGCAAATCTAGTTTTAAGAATGTGCTCAAATTAAAGACCTTATGACGGGTTTGATTTATTTAGAAATACAGTTTTAATACCATTTTATATTACAAGAGAACTACTAAAGGTTTCAAAATCAGTTGTTGTTTTTTTTGTCTGATCCCCCCAAATCAAAATAACCCCATAGCAACGCCCTTAGAAACGAAAAAACTTCACAGCCCTTGGTGACGTCAGAACGGGTACGTTTCAATGCTGTAAGTTGTTTACAATTTGGTATTCGTTCTTTTTTCGCGGATATTCAAGATGACAAGGCCGTGTACAGCGAGTCTAAAATAACTACTAGAATGTAACATTTTGTTGTCACTGAGATAGTCCAGTGGTTGTGTTGATGGACTGCCAATCTAGACACTGGGGTTCGAATCCCACCTCGGACACTTTTTCACACTCAAAACGGCAATTTACGTGTAGTGAGCAACTGTCACCTGTAGAGGGCAGTATTGTGTTGGGCATCAGTGGAGAGAAGAGAGAAAAGGCAGTCCTGTGGCATAGATCCATGGTTTTCAATGCATGGGCGTAACCCGCTATGACGTCACACACAGGTTAGAGCATAGACAACTTAAATTCATGAAAAACACGTTCTTTTTATAAAATATAGGATTTTTTTTGCCGGAATCTCTTTCAAATTGACATTGTCATGCAATTTTGATATCCACTATTTTTTTTTTTAAAACCCGTCATAAGGTCTTTAAGACACATTTTGCCAAATCTGAGACATTGTTGACTTATTTTCCGCACTTATTGCAGTGTGCTTCTTCCAGACATCATCCTTAACAATAAATAACTTTTAGGAGTGAGGTCATAATGTGTGTGTCCACCACAACATGCAAGAGGCTCCAGCTCCATCTTTGTAATTAAATACAGTTTAATCTGGAAGTGTTTTTATTTATTCATGAATAATCCATGATTATCGTAGAGTCCTCTGTTTCTGTGGTTCATGGTCCTCAGTTTCTCCTGTTGACAAAGAGTTAGACTTATTGACCTTCTGCTTCAGGACCTGATTTCAGTCGCTGTAAAACTATAAAAGACGCAAAGCTGTCTTTCCCCTGAACATCTCAATCATCAATGCCTCTATCAGGCCTAGAGTCATGGACTGGCCCTCGGACAAGTCTCTGTCACTGATTCTTCTCATGCCCTCTGGGGTTTTCAGGACAACCGCCGGGACGTCCTCAGAGATGAAAGAAGGCAGCTCTACTTTGGGAGGCACCATGGACCTCTCGAACAGGTCGTACTTTTGACTCATAAAAGAATTCTCAGAGATGCCTGAGATTCTCCTGGTGCTGACCTCTGGTGTGCGTAAGACGATCGCCGGAACGTCTCTAGAGATCCGTGATGGCACGCATGCTCTGGGGTGCACCATGGACCTCTCGAACAGGTTGCATGTCTGGCTGTTGAAAGAGTACCCTGACAGATGTTGAAAGTCCACCTGGACAGGGACCGACCCTTGAGAAGGAATGGACACATTATATGTCAGGGCCTGCTGGGAGTTGGGCAACAGAGGCGGCTTCTCCATGCACAACTCAAACAGATCCTGGCGGTAGAACTTCTCCAAGGGGTCTTGCGCTATGTAATCCTGGAGGCTTTGAAGGTAGTTTGATACCTCGGTCTGTACCGTGGTGTATGTCTGCTGCCGGTCGAAGTGCCTGAGCTTACATCTTACCCTTGTTTTCCATGTGTACAGTGCCTTGCGAAAGTATTCGGCCCCCTTGAACCTTTCAACATTTCGCCACATTTTAGGCTTCAAACATAAAGATAAAAAATTTAAATTTTTTGTCATGAATCAACAACAAGTGGGACACAATCGTGAAGTGGAACGAAATTTATTGGATAATTTAAACTTTTTTAACAAATAAAAAACTGAAAAGTGGGGCGTGCATTATTATTCGGCCCCTTTGCTTTCAGTGCAGCAAACTCAGTCCAGAAGTTCAGTGAGGATCTTTGAATGATCCAATGTTGTCCTAAATGACTGATGATGATAAATAGAATGCACCTGTGTGTAATCAAGTCTCCGTATAAATGCACCTGCTCTTTGATAGTCTCAGGGTTCTGTTTAAAGCGCAGAGAGAACCATGAAGACAAAGGAACACACCAGGCAGGTCCGAGATACTGTTGTGGAGAAGTTTAAAGCCGGATTTGGATACAAAAAGATTTCCCAAGCTTTAAACATCTCAAGGAGCACTGTGCAAGCAATTATATTGAAATGGAAGCAGTATCAGACCACTGCAAATCTACCAAGACCCGGCCGTCCCTCCAAACTTTCATCTCAAACAAGGAGAAGACTGATCAGAGATGCAGCCAAGAGGCCCATGATCACTCTGGATGAACTGCAGATAACTACAGCTCAGGTGGGAGAGTCTGTCCATAGGACAACAATCAGTCGTGCACTGCACAAATCTGGCCTTTATGGAAGAGTGGCAAGAAGAAAGCCATTTCTCAAAGATATCCATAAAAAGTCTTGTTTAAAGTTTGCCACAAGCCACCTGGGAGACACACCAAACATGTGGAAGAAGGTGCTCTGGTCAGATGAAACCAAAATCAAACTTTTTGGCCACAATGCAAAACAATATGTTTGGCGTAAAAGCAACACAGCTCATCACCCTGAACACACCATCCCCACTGTCAAACATGGTGGTGGCAGCATCATGCTTTGGGCCTGCTTTTCTTCAGCAGGGACAGGGAAGATGGCTAAAATTGATGGGAAGATGGATGGAGCCAAATACAGGACCATTCTGGAAGAAAACCTGTTGGAGTCTGCAAAAGACCTGAGACTGGGACGGAGATTTATCTTCCAACAGGACAATGATCCAAAACATAAAGCCAAATCTACAATGGAATGGTTCACAAATAGACGTATCCAGGTGTTAGAATGGCCAAGTCAAAGTCCAGACCTGAATCCAATCGAGAATCTGTGGAAAGAGCTGAAGACTGCTGTTCACAAACGCTCTCCATCCAACCTCACTGAGCTCGAGCTGTTTTGCAAGGAAGAATGGGAAAGAATTCCAGTCTCTCGATGAGCAAAACTGATAGAGACATACCCCAAGCGACTTGCAGCTGTAATTGCAGCAAAAGGTGGCGCTACAAAGTATTAGCGCAAGGGGGCCGAATAATATTGCACGCCCCACTTATCAGTTTTTTATTTGTTAAAAAAGTTTAAATTATCCAATACATTTCGTTCCACTTCACGATTGTGTCCCACTTGTTGTTGATTCTTGACAAAAAAAATAATTTTTATATCTTTATGTTTGAAGCCTGAAATGTGGCGAAATGTTGAAAGAATACTTTCGCAAGGCACTGTATTTCATACAGAGTGTAAATAACAGTGGTGTTCTGGTGCTGGAGGTTCTGAGAGAGAGGAGCAAAGGTACAGTTCCTTCAAATGCATCTTCACATGACATTATTCACATATGTAGCATGACGAGGGTCGTGGGCACATTCGGTGGACTAACCTAAATACCAGCAACGCCAGGGTTTTGAAACCCAAAATGAAAAAATGGTAACGCCCGACGGCACACAGGTAAGTTTATATAAGAAGAGGCATGTTCCATGAGTGAGCAGATTTATTAAATACATTTTCTCTCGCTCTCTTTAAAGTCTCACAAATAACGTGGTCTGTCAGAGTCATACAAAAGCTAGTGCACATTACATAATAACAATCAATTTGTTCATGTGTCGTACTCGTGTAAAGTTTGAATTGAATGTCATAAAGCTTGGATTAAAAAAGTTATTAAATTGTTTAAATACAATGTCAGTAATTCTTCAATTAGTCATTTATGTTTCTATCCAAGTAACATAGCAAAACTTATTTACACACATACAGCACATATATTTCAAAACTTACACTTAAATGCATTTTCCCGACCTGTTGGTGTGTACCGCAAAGAATTATGGGCAATATCCTTCGCCAGAGTGCGCACAGCATTGAGTAAAATAAAAGACAAGGAAATTGAACAAGAAAAGTAAAGGCGGAAAGGCAACATGGCAGCGGGGGTCAAGCACAGATCTAGCAGCCTGTCTGGAAATCAAATATTAGAAACGGCAGGAACATAGTTTACATTACATTCCAGGACAAGCCGCGCTAACCTACCTTCTGGAAAAGCACGGTCAGTAGGCTGTTGTGCACAACATTCTGGGTCCAGCCCACACCTGGACTCACAGAGAAAGGGCAGGCAGCTGAGCCAGTCGCATCGGAACGCGACCCATAACAGCACACCCCTAGGCCACAGAAAGCAATTCAATTAACACAAAGACATGAGATTCTTAAAAAGTCTGAAGGACGCTACCTGTACTGTCAGGAGAGTGGACACAGGAGGCGGAAGTCTGTGTGGCGTAGACAAGCCCTGATGATCCAAGATGGCTTGTGCCCAGTAGAGCATGGAACTTCACGGAGACCGTGAGATTAGCAGAACTCGCCTATATTTAGGCATCGTCTGGTCCTCTCGGTTCTGCGCAGTGGACGAGCTCCCATGATACGTCGCGCCAAATACACTTGTGTGTCTCTCATGCAGGTGCACAGAGGTTCTCGGCCGCGGTCTGACCAATCAGACCTGATCATCAGAGCAGCGGAAGAGCGGAGCCAGAGCCAGAGGAAAGGAGCAGAGTTTGTGGCAGTAAAGTGTGGATTTTTAAAAAAACAGAAGGATTTAAGAAGAAAAAAAGTTCAGGATGACAAGAGACACCAACATCTCCACAAAATCCGATATTTCTGAAAGCTGTAGGTTCTCTGTCAGCTGAGGTTGAGCTGTTTTAATTTACATTGAGTTATATGTGACTTTTTTATGGGTAGCCCTCGTGATTTTAGTCTGCAGTACCACGGGCGCCCCCTGTGCCCGTGGGTGGGACAGCTTTAAGCTAGTAATACCCTATCCAGTTATTATTATAGATCCATGGGCATAGACAGAGAGAGGCGGAATTGTCCAGCAGCTGAAGCCGCGGTGCATGAGCGACTGCATACCATGAAAAAGTGCTACAAAACACTAGAAAGATCAAAAATTACACTAGGAATACAATAAACTAAGAAACAATACATAACACTAACAAGAGACAGAAACCGGAGAAAGACCAGAGAGAGAGAGTATAGAGAGAGAGACCAGACAGAGACTATAGAGAGACCAGAGAGGGACTGGAGACCAGAGAGAGAAAATAGAGACCAGAGAGTAGAGAAAGCAGAAAGAGAGAGCAGAGAGTGGTCTCACTTCATTGAACAAGCGGGTAAGAATTTTCCCTTTGTCTCTCTTTGTCCCACTGTCTCATTTCCTCATTTCTACTAGCCTGACTTGGTCCTACTCTACTCTACTCTACTCTACTCGGTATCTAGTGGACAGGTTCTTCGACAGGAGCTGGACAGATCCTGAGGCCTTTGCTTTGACAGTCCGCACTCGAGGGTCCAACGTAGAAAAAAGGGAGGAGTGTTCTGGTGAATGTGTGTTTGTAAGTGTAAATATGAGACGTGTCGCTGCAGTCGTAGAAACTCAGAGCTCCTGAGTCCAAGTCGAGCTGCACCTGGATCCTCTGAGGGCTCTGCTTCAGCTCCAGAGTCTCGTCAAAAACAACATATTTGTTGTTTACAAGTCCAACGGTCCAAACTCCATTCTCTGGTGTCAGCAGTGGGGCCTTCTTCCTTCTGACGGACTCTTCCATGACTCCTATGATCCACTTCGGGTGATCCCCCACCTCCACGTCCCACTGATGTGTCCCAGACCTCAGTCCCTCTAAGCCCAGGACACAGATGTCTTCACTGAACCTCTCTGGGTTCTCAGGCCTCTGCTGGTCCTCTCCTCTCCTCACACTGGTCATGTCCTCTGACACCTGGAGCTTTGGATGGGCTGTGTTTGGGTCAAGAACCACTGGACTGAAGTGGACCATGCTCCTCATCTTCCTCCAGACGCTGAAGTCCAGGTTTCCCAGGACTCTGGCCTGGTCTATGAGCAGCTGTGGTACCAGTGGAGGCGGAGGCTTTTTGGGCTCATGGTGGCTCCGTGGTCTGTCTCGGCTGTAGGACACCAGGAAGTCCTCTGAGTTCTTCTGCAGCTGCTCCTCCAGCTGCTGGATGTGCTCCTGTAGAGAGACCAGTGTTTGAGAGACTGTGGCCAGCTCTATCTCCAGTCTCTGGGCCTTTTCCTCCTGCTGCAGTCTGAGCTCAGACAGACGTAGCTGCTCCTCGGCCTTCAGGAAGCTGTGTAAGGTCTCAAAGTGTGCAGTGATGCTCTTCTCACAGAGCTGGGTCTGAGCGAGATTGTGCTGCTGACAGTCTCTGTAGGCCTGCTCCACACTCTGAGCCTGCTCTCTGCTCCTCTGCAGACTCTGCAGCTGTGAACTCAGCTGCTGCTTCAGATCTGTCGCTGCCTCCTCCACAGACACCACTGTGTGTTCTCTGTGCTGAGAAAACTCACAGAGAGGACACAGGAGCCGAGCCTCATCTGTACAGAAGAGAGAGGGAACCTGCGGGTGAGAGAGGCAGGCTCCAGCTCTCGCTCTGGACTGGACTTTGTCTCCCACTGCAACACACAGCTCCTTCAAAGCAAAGTTGACAAAGATGATCTGTTTAGAAGACTTCCTCCTGCAGACGGGACAGTCCCTGCTCTTCATTCGGTCCCAGAACCCCTGCAGGCAGTCGGAGCAGAAGCTGTGGTGGCAGCCCAGGGTCACCGGGTCTCTGAAGGTCTCCAGGCAGACGGGACAGGTCAGATAGTCCTCCACTGCGGACACCTGCTCAGCCATCTCTGTGTGTCTCTGGGTCTCTGTGAGTCTCTCTCTATGCGAGTCTCTGATCTCGTCTGACACTGGTTCAGGTTCACCTCCTCCACTTCCTCGTTCCAGTCCTGTTCCAGTTGCTCTTCATTCCAGACACTCCTTTTTTTGTCAATTCCAACAACAACTTTACTAACCATGATTCTCTGCCCCACACCACTCTATTCTACTTTACTCTACTCTACTCTACTCTACTCTACTCTACTCTACTCTACTCTACTCTACTCTACTCTACTCTACTCTACTCTACTCTACTCTACTCTACTCTACTCTACTCTCCTCACACTCTGCCTGTGATTGGTGCGTGGACCTCCCACTGGGCCTGGGTCCTTTAGTGCTGTCTCCTCCACCATTTTACACTTAATTATCTGTGAATGTTTGTTTTCTCCACCTTGAGGAGGAGGGGCCGCGGCGGGAGGTGAACCAAGACAGAGGGAAGAGTGCGTTTGTTATAATGACACAGCGGGGAATGACAAACGCAGGGAAACTCACAGAGACAACTTTAGTTTCAGAGGGGATCTCAGACGAAGACGAAGAGAGCCTGTATTCCTCCCACAGTGGGGAAATTCCAGTGTTGCATCACTAGTTACAGAACAGTAAGAATGAAGAGCACACAGCACAAGATACAATAGAACAAGAACTCTATAATAAAATAAAACAATTTCTTTAACGTTAGCATAATAAAGAAACATGTATATAATGGTAAACTGGTCTTGGTAAAGGTCCAGCCCTGGTTTTGGTTTTAGATATGGTCTTGGTCCAAGTCTCATCTTGGGCTTGGTCTTGATCCTGGCCTTAAGCCTGGTCTGGTCCTGATCCCAGCCTGGTTTTGGTCTTGGATCTGGTTTTGTTTCATATCTGGTCTTGCCCATGGTCTTGCCTCTGGTCTTGGTCAGGATCTGGTCTTAAGCCTGGTCTGGTCCTGGTCCAAGCCTGGTTTTGGTCTGGGATCTGGTCTTGGTCTCGGTCTTTGTCCACCTTCACTCAGCCCCTGAGCACAAAGCGTAAAATAGTGACCCCGGGGCTTTTTCGTACAATAAGGTTCACAGTCCCACGTCTCTCTCTTTTTGAATTATTTATAACATTTAAAATCATATAAAGTCTGAGAAGGATCAAGCCAAACGAACAGTACAAGTCTGGTCCGTGGAGAGGCGAGGGCCCTCACACAGAGACAGATACAAGGCCGTTACAGAGACATTAGTTTGTATCTGGGAGCAGACGTGAGCAGGGCTAAAGCAGGTGTGTGCTGCCCTCTACAGACGGACAGTGGAACTACACCACACACCTGGACCCTGCAGAAGCCTCAGTCCAGGATTCACACAACACGCAGTTTGATTCTGACAGATCATCCGAGTTCAATCCACTTTTCTACATCACATTAAAAACAGGTTTCCTCCGTGTGCTCCAACGTCCCCTGAACATTTAATGCACACAAGCGGTGTTTAGAAGTGTTAAGAAATCCATAAATTCTCTTCCGCTTTTCCGTTGCCGGGTTGCGGGGGCAGCAGGCTGTGCAACTACGTCCACTCTTCCCTCTCCACACACTTCCTTCTGCTCATCTGCGAGAAGAGATGAGAGTAGAGTATAGGGTAAGGTAGAGTAGGGTAGGGTTTAGTAGAGTAGGGTATTTTAGGGTCGAGTAGAGTAGGGGAGGGTAGAGTATAGGGTAGAGTAGAGTAGCCTCCTCAAACAAATTCCTGATCCACCTCATCTGGCTCCTCTCGCCGTGGAGAAGCAGAGGCTCTACTCCGAGCTCCTCTCTCTCTCAGGCAGACAATGAGCTTGTAGAGCCTCATTTCTCTGTGTCTGTTGTTTACAAACTGCACAAACACATTACCCCTGTCCTCTGACACCTGTCGCCATGACAACAGCTGTAGCTCCAGATTAATCACATCTGTCCCACTGACGAATGCAGAACAAGGAAACACAGGACACTGGCCTGGACCATTCGGGTCTGTGGAGAGAGGAGCCTTTTGCATCCGCAGACGAGAGTGTTTGATCTGTTCCTGTTTTTATCTCAGCAGTAATTTACCAACTTTATCACCAATGCAGCAGGTCTCTGGTTTCTGGTCCTTGGTTATTGGTCCTTGGTCCATGTTGGTCCATGTATCTGGTCCCCTGGTCTCTGGTCTCTGGTCTCTGGTTTCTGGTCTCTGGTCTCTAGTCTCTGGTTTCTGGTCTCTGGGCTCTGGGCTCTGGTCTCCGGGGTCTGCTCCCTGGTCTCTGGGCTCTGGTTCCTGGTATCTGGTCTCTGGTTCTTGGTCTCTGGTTTCTGGTCCCTGGTCTCATGGCTCTGGTCCCTGGTCTCTGGTCTCTGGTCTCTGGTCTCTGGTCTCTGGTCTCTGGTCTCTGGTCTCTGGTCTCTGGTCTCTGGTCTCTGATCTCTGGTCTCGTCCTCAGATGGAGACGGCGGCGGCCATCTTGGCTCTGGTCACACTCCAGTGGCACTTCTTCCAATCTGCCTAAAAACCCAATCACATTTTACTCATTTATGAATTCTCCCAAAATGAGGACGTTAAATATTCAGGCTCCAATATCAGACCAGTCTCCTGTCAATTACTCCCATCATGCATTGCAAACGAGGACACACATCGGCAGACATGAGGGGATCCAAAAGCAGCAGAGCTAATCCAAAAGCAGCAGAGCTAATTCTCCTGTATGTTTGATAGGAAAGCCCCAATCATGAGGAGCGACGCAGCTTCGCTCTGTGTGTGATAGGACATTATTTTCTCATTTATTTTTCTAGTGTAGTTGAAGATTCATAGTTAAACATAAACCTTTGGCTTTACCTCCTGATCACATTTTAGAGCAGATTCAATTATTTGGTTGTTTCCCTGAGAAAAGAGGCTTTAAATTGAAGTAAAACATTCCATAGTGTCCCATCACCATCAAAGCTGAATTCAGGGGCCACTAAAAATGTTCTTGTGAGCCGGATTTGGCCCACGGGCCTGAGTTTGACATGCCTGCTGTAAATGGTCTGTTCTAAACTTTGGTACAATAATAAGAGGTCTCCCATCACAGTGACCAGTGCTTATTTATTTGAAGAGACTGGGCTGAAGCAAAAACGTGTGTGTTTTTTGAGAAAGAGTAGAAGCAGCTCAGCTTCAGGGTCTGACAGGATCTGCTTTCATGTTTTTCTCACATTTTTCGATCTGCTTTTTCAGACAGAAAAGTGACAAAGAGAGGACCACCCTCACTCGGCCAATCAGCTCTCAGCCCAAAGAGTCAATTAAATATAATGTTTTCCTGATTTTCCCCCTATTTTTAAAGGCAAGGCAAGTTTATTTGTATAGCACAATTTATACACAAGGCAACTCAAAGTGCTGAACAAAATAAGATAGCATTAAAATCATAAATAATCACAGAACATTAAAAGAAAGATAAAAATATAAAATCCCTCAGTTGTATGCACAGCTAAACAGAACTGTTTTTAACCTGGTTTTAAACATTGTCAGAGAGGAGGCCTGTCTCACACTTTCAGGAAGATTGTTCCAGATTTTAGCAGCATGAATCTGAAAAGCAGCCTCCCCATGTTTAGTCTTGACTCTGGGCACTAACAGGAGTTTTAACATGTGTTTGTTACACAGTTACATAAAAACACAATATTCAGGCTATTTCTTTTCACTAGTTTCATCTGTAACCATTTAGACTACATTTTACTACAGATTTAGGCACCTATGAGGGATAAATAGTTTGGTGAAAGTAGCGACAGGACACACCTTTGTCTGTGCCACTGGAGGGCGCTCTTTCCTTGTCTTTCAAACGCAGATTCAATAATGACCTTAAAGTAGGTTATCTAGCTTTTTGGTTTTATAAATAGTTTAAAATATAAAAATGTTTTCTGCAATTTATGGCTGGGTGAACTTTCAAGTACAACTGTAGAATTAACATTCCCTTTTCCAATGGTTAATCAAAAAGACAGAATGAGATAGAACACACATAGTGCCATATGAACAAACCGGGACTGGCCTCCTGCTGGGACTCTGAGGAGCACAGGGACTGGCCTCCTGCTGGGACTCTGAGGAGCACAGGGACTGGCCTCCTGCTGGTGCCCAGATTCAGCAGGCAGACATGTGGAAGAAGCGTTTCAGATTAATGCCGCTAAAATCTGGAACAGTCTTCCTGAAAATGTGAGACAGGCTTCTTCTCTGACAATGTTCAGATCCAGGTTAAAAACAGTTTGGTTTCGCTGCAACAACTGAAGGATTGTATCGTCACTCTTTTTTAATATACTGTAACTATTTATATTATTTGAATGCCTTGTTTCTATCTTGTTGTATTAGTTGCTTTATGTATGAACTGCGCTACACAAATAAACTTGCCTTGCTTCGCCTAAAATGTCTTCTTAAAATCAGCCGTGTCTGAAACGCAAAGATTACATTGACTTTGGCCTCAACCTGAAAGCTCTCAATACATTTCTACGGACAGCACTGCCCCCTTGTGGTCCGAGCAGGTAACGTCTCTTTGTTACTATATTTTTCGATGGCACTTTTAGATTCCCCTGGTGTGTTTTCGGTGTTCTCTGGTGTCGTGTGCAAATGACGGGGTGTGGGAAGTTCTCACGTAAACTCAGCAGAGGAGGATCTGGTGGTTTATAACACAGAAATGTATGTTTTTGTGTCTGCGTGGGTCTAAACACAAACACGTAAATTATCGTCTTTAGCTTCAGGGTAAAACTGCGGGAAGAGGGCAACGGGTTGTTTTTGGTAGAGTTTGGAATGAAGCAAAAGGAAGTGATTTATGAGTTTGAAGGTGATAAGAAGGATCATATTTAAGGAGAGAGAGAGACCAGAGAGAGAGGACAGAGAGAGGACAGAGAGAGAGAGAGAGACCAGAGAGAGAACACAGAGAGATACCAGAGAGAGAGAGAGACCAGAGAGAGAACACAGAGAGATACCAGAGAGAGAGAGAGAGACCAGAGAGAGAGGACAGAGAGATACCAGAGAGAGAGAGAGACCAGAGAGAGAGGA